CATGACTCCTAATACTGGAAATAAATGGTATAAAATACTGACACCAAAGGAAATATAAGCGCGACGGGCTGGAGTTTTGAGACTCTATAACCGCGGGTTCAATCCCGGCCGGGGTATGGTTTGATCCTGTATTTACAACGTCTCGCCAACACAGTGAGCTTTTTCAAGTCACAAACATATCTACCTGGGCTGGAGGTAATGCGATATTTATAGTCAGGTTCAGAATGTTTTAGTCAGGTGGAGAATACTGTATCTGATGATGTACTGAGTGGGGTTATAAGTCTAAAAACTTTGGTAGTTTGGAAGGAAGATTGGATAAGTTTTTTGACAGACCCTCTGCAGTGTTCTTTCCAAATTTCCCATGCTGTTATGTGGGATAGCGATGAAGAGTTTCTTGGCAAGTGGTTTCAGCTATGTTATAGAAGTCATTATTCTGGTTGAAGTTGTCGATATAGAGATAAGCGATGATTCCAGGATTCTTCGGTATTGAGTGTTGTCTTCTGTGGCGATAAGTCCCTTGAGTTTCTGTAGTTTATTAAATGGTTGTGTGAATTACGGGTTGTACACAGGGATTCCTTGTATCGTCACACCTGCTTGCGTATTGGTGTTCTGAAATACGTGTTTGGAGGTCCCTGATGTTTCGCCCACGTATAATTTGCTGCAGTCATTCAAGGGATTATGTATATCCCTGCAGAGGAGGGAAAAGCTTGCCCTGCCTATTACTGGAATGTCGTTGATGGTCGTGGTTTTAAAGGGGTAGATATTTGGGAAATGATGTATTGGAAAAGATGTTGGAAACGTGTTTTGCAATGGAGTTGTGGGGAGGGCTATATATCTCTTCCCCGGCAGTGTCTTCTCTGGGTGTGTTGAAGATGTTTAAAAGCCCGTCGTCTGCAGTCTCGATGAAAGTGACGAGGATAGTGGAGTTTAGAAAATACTTGTTCAATTAATAGTACATTCTTCCTCAAGGAACTCCATTGCTGCAGATTCTGGTGCACGCAGGAAGAAGCCTATAAATTACACCACGTTTAGTTTTGGTGTCGTGGTGAGAGTATAAGTGGAGAGCATCGTTTTGGTTTGTTGGTTTTCGATAGACTTTAAAAAACGTTTTTTGGTCAGCTTTGCGAGAACATCAAAGGGAAAAGGGAAAAGTGTTGTTTGACTTCTTTCTTCAAGTGTGAACTGGATTAAGGGCTCGACCTGGTTGAGCTTGTCTTGGAGAGCTTGAACGTTGAAGCGTCTAGGAGTTATGAGGAGAATGTCGTTAACATAACGGTGCCAGGTGACGGACGAAGGAATAATGGTGGAGAAACGTTCGGCTTCTAGATATTCCATGTATAGGTTCGCCAGGACCGCACTGATTGACGAACCCATGGGTAGTCCAAAAATCTGCAGAAAGAGGTGAATTTCGAAAGAGAAACGCGTAAAGCCAACACATAGCTCAACAAGGTCGATGAAATCGCTGGCTGGAATAGGAAGATCAAGTGAATCGTCAATTTTCCTGCGCAAGAGATCGATGGCTTTTGTAGTAGGTGCTTTGGTGAATAGGGAAGTTATGTCAAGACTGGAAAGTTTGTTGTTCCTGACTATAAATACTCGCGTAACTTCCACCCCATGTAGATCTGTTTGTGACTTGAAAAAGCCCACTGTGTGGGCGAAACGTTGTCAGCAAAGGATCACATTATACTTCATGTGTTTATATTTCCATTATGTCGGTATTTTATACCATTTATTTCCATCGTGTCAAACACTGCAGTAGAAATAAATCCTTCAAACAGAGAATACCTGGACCTCCTTCTAAAAGCTTACTCACTCCGCAACAGACACAATTTTCTTCGTGACTGTATCCAAGAAATGGTCTTACCAAGATCTACTCCTCCTCAAATTGCCAACATCAAACCTCCTTTCTTCGCTACAGCTCGGACCTACCTTGAAGAGTGTGCAGATGACTTAAACAATGCTACAAAGGAAGCTTTTCTACAAGCCCGAACACTAGGCACAACACTCCGGGGCAACATGAACCGCCGAAATCATTCACAGTAGAGTTACCGCAGCGAATGTTCAACAGATTAGAGTTACTAGAAAACTACAAACTCTCTGCGATAATAGTCATTGGAAAACTTGAGGAAGACCTGACATTATTCAAAATCTTTCATCTCGTCCACTGTCAACCACAGAAACTGAAGCCCTCAGCTTAGGCCTCAAATTCACAACAGGAATTACGAAACCAAAACAAGACCTCAATTTCATCGCCAAAAACTACAGACACAATGACGCCGACTTCCAAAAAGGTTATCTTCAAGGCATCATCTCAGCAGCCATCTCAACACGCAGCTCCCAAGTCACACCTCGACGTTACATTAATGCACTTAAAGGTTTAGCAGAAGACACGACCGTCAGGGTCACCACCGCTGATAAAGGAGGTGGTGTTGTTATCATGAACACTGACGATTACAGGAACAAAATGCCCAATCTACTTAATGATCCAGATACCTACAAACCTCTAACAGCTAACCAAGTGGACAACCTTACTAAAACTTTTCTTTAAAGGACTCGCCACATTCTGAGGGACTCAGAACAAGGGAAGAAACTTCTGCACACTATACCCAGCAACCCCAGACCTGCCAGAATGTACGGCCTGCCAAAAACTCACAAGCCTGGTATCCCATTGAGGCCCATATCCTCGGGAATAGGCAGTGCTCCCCACCAACTCTCAGGAATTCTCGCGAAACACCTCACTAAATTCTCGGGCACTATCAGTCCAGCACATCTCAAACACTCAAGTACCTACTACACAAGCCATCGATCTCCTGCGCAGGAAAATTGACGATTCACTTGATCTTCCTATTCCAGCCAGCGATTTCTTCGACCTTGTTGAACTATGTGTTGTCTTTACGTATTTCTCTTTCGAAAATCACCTCTTTCAGCAGACTTTTGGACTACCCATGGGTTCGCCACTCAGTGCGGTCCTGGCGAACCTATACATGGAACATCTAGAAGCCGAGCATTTCTCCACCATTATTCCTTCGTCTGTCACCTGGCTCCGTTATGTTGACGACATTTTCCTCTTAACTCCTAGACGCTTCAACGTTCAAGCTCTCTAAGACAAGCTCAACCAGGTCGAGCCCTCAGTCCAGTTCACACTTGAAGAAGAAGTAGACAACACTCTTCCTTTCCTTGATATTCTTCTCTGCAAAGCTGACCATGAACTTCGTTTTAAAGTCTATCGATAACCCACCAACCAAAACGATCTTCTCCACTTCTACTCTCACCACGACACCAAAACTAAACGTGGTGTAATTATAGACTTCTTCCTGCCTGCACTCAGAATCTGCAGCAATGAGTTTCTTGAAGAAGAATGCACTATAATTGAACAAGTATTTTCTAAACTCCACTATCCTCGTCACTTCATCAGAGACTGCAGACGACGGGCATTAAACATCTTCAACACACCCAGAGAAGACACTGCCGAGAAGAGATATATAGTCCTCCCTACCAACTACATTGCCAAACACGTTTCCAACATCTTTTCCAATACCTCATTCCAAGTATCTACCTCCACAACCACGACCATCAACGACATTACCAGTAATAGACAGGACAAGCTTCCATCCTCTGCAGGGATATACATAATCCCTTGTAATGACTGTAGCAAATTATACGTGGGCGAAACATCAAGGAACCTCCAAACACGTATTTCAGAACACCAATACGCAAGCAGGTGTGACGATACAAGGAATGCCTGTGTACAACACCGTAATTCACACAACCATTTAATAAACTACAGAAACTCAAGACTTATCGCCACAGAAGACAACACTCAATACCGAAGAATCCTGGAATCATCACTTATCTCTATATCCGACAACTTCACCCAGAATAGTGGCTTCTATAACATAGCTGAACCACTTGCCAAGAAACTTCTTCATCGCTATCCCACATAACAACATAGGAATGGAAGAACACTGTGGAAGGTCTGCTCACAAACTTATCCAATCTCCCTTCCAAACTACCCAAGATTTTAGACTCTATAACCCCACTCGGTACATCATCAGATGCAGCATTCTCCACCTGACCTCAGCATTCTGAACCTGACTATAAATACTCGCGTACCTTCCAGCCCAGGTAGATCTGTTTGTGACTTGAAAAAAGCCCACTGTGTGGGCGAAACGTTGTCAATAAAGGATCACATTATACTGCATATGTGTTTATATTTCCACTCCTATGCACTACTTACTGCATGACTCTTACTTTTTAATTTACTTTTCAAAGCAAGAATTCAACTTACTTCTTGAAACATGTCTCACTCTTTAAACAAGTTTCCAACTTACTCTTCACAGCATGTTTTCTGCTTAATCCATTAAGTCTGACTCTTTCTTACTCCGTAAAGCCTCTCTGTTGCATTTTCCATTAAACGTGATTTTTGGCCAGAGTGCTTACCACAGAGTACTTACCACAGAGTACTTACCACAGAGTACTTACCACAGAGTACTTACCACAGAGTACTTACCACAGAGTACTTACCACAGAGTACTTACCACAGAGTACTTACCACGGAGTACTTACCACAGAGTACTTACCACAGAGTACTTACCACAGAGTACTTACCACAGAGTACTTACCACAGAGTACTTACCACAGAGTACTTACCACAGAGTACTTACCACAGAGTACTTACCATAGAGTACTTACCACAGAGTACTTACCACAGAGTACTTACCACGGAGTACTTACCACAGAGTACTTACCACAGAGTACTTACCACAGAGTACATACCACAAAGTACTTACCACAGAGTACTTACCACAGAGTACATACCACAAAGTACTTACCACAGAGTACTTACCACAGAGTACATACCACAAAGTACTTACCACAGAGTACTTACCACAGAGTACATACCACAAAGTACTTACCACGGAGTACTTACCACAGAGTACTTACCACAGAGTACTTACCACAGAGTACTTACCACAGAGTACATACCACAAAGTACTTACCACAGAGTCTTTGAGTGTGAAGTCAGCCGTCATGTCCTTAACAGACAGGTACTTCCCCAGCTTGAGCTTCATGTAGAAGCTGAAGGTCAAACCATTAAGCTGTATGCTGAGGTGTAAGAAACTTTAATTAATGTGAGGGATAAAACATGATGTGTGGTGAGGGAGGGAACATGATGTGAGGTGAGGGAGGGAACATGATGTGTGGTGAGGGAGGGAACATGATGTGTGGTGAGGGGGGAAACATGATGTGTGGTGAGGGGGGAAACATGATGTGTGGTGAGGGAGGGAACATGATGTGTGGTGAGGGAGGGAACATGATGTGTGGTGAGGGAGGGAACATGATGTGTGGTGAGGGAGGAACATGATGTGTGGTGAGGGAGGGAACATGATGTGTGGTGAGGGAGGGAACATGATGTGTGGTGAGGGAGGGAACATGATGTGTGGTGAGGGAGGGAACATGATGTGTGGTGAGGGGGGAAACATGATGTGTGGTGAGGGGAAAACATGATTTGTGGTGAGGGAGAAACATAAATTTTTGTGGTGAGGGAGGGAACATATGTTTGGTGAGGGGGGAAACTGAATTGTGGTGAGGGGGGGAAAACATGATGTGTGGTGAGGGGGGAAACAAGATGTGTGGTGAGGGAGGGAACATGATGTGTGGTGAGGGAGGGGAACATGATGTGTGGTGAGGGAGGGAAAACATGATGTGTGGTGAGGGAGGGAAATGATGTGTGGTGAGGGAGGGAACCTGATGTGTGGTGAGGGAGGGAACATGATGTTGGGGTGAGGGAGGGAACATGATGTGTGGTGAGGGAGGGAAACATGATTGTGGTGAGGGAGGAAACATGAGTGTGGTGAGGGAGGGAACATGATGTGTGGTGAGGGAGGGAACATGATGTTTTGGGTGAGGGAGGGAACATGATGTGTGGTGAGGGGGGAAACATGATGTGTGGTGAGGGGGGGAAACATGATGTGTGGTGAGGGAGAGGAAACATGATGTGTTGTGAGGGAGGAAACTTTATGTGTGGTGAGGGGGGAAAACATGATGTGTGGTGAGGGAGGAAACATGATGGTGGTGAGGGAGGGAAAACATGATTGGTGGTGAGGGAGGGAATATGATGTGTGGTGAGGGAGGGAACATGATGTGTGGTGGGGGAGGGAACCATGATTTTGTGGTGAGGGAGGGAATATGATGTGGGTGAGGGAGGGAACATGATGTGTGGAGAGGGAGGGAACATGATGTTTTGTGAGGGAGGGAACATGATGTTTTGGTGAGGGAGGGAACATGATGTTTGGGGGAGGGGGGGAAATGATGTGTGGTGAGGGGGGGAACTGATGTGTGGTGAGGGGGAAACATGATGTGTGGTGAGGGAGGGAACATGATGTGTGGTGAGGGGGGGAACATATGTGTGGTGAGGGAGGGAAACATGATGTGTGGTGAGGGACGAAACATGAGTGGTGGGGGGGAATATGATGTGTGGTGGGGAGGAACAATGTGGGGTGGGAGGGGGAAACATGATTGTGTGAGGGAGGGACAAGAGTGTGGTGTGGGGGGGAAACATGGTGTGGGTGGGAGGAACTGATGTGTGGTGAGGGGAGGAATAAGATGTGTGGTGAGGGAGGGAACATGTTGTGTGGGTTGGGGAAAGGGAAAAAAATTTTTTATTGGGGTTAGGGTTTTAACCCAAATTTTTTTTAATTTGGTTTTTTAAGGGGGGGCCCCCCATGATTTAGGTTTAAAAAACCGGGAAACTTTAATTTTTTTGGGGGGGGGAAACAATATTTTTGAGGGTTTAAAGGGCCCCCCAATATATGTTGGTTTTAAAGGAAACATAATTTGTTTTTAAAAAGGGAACATATTTTTTTTTTAAAAAACTTTTTAAAATTTTAACCCCAGGGAACTTTTTTTTATTTTTTAAAAATTTTATTTTTTGAAGGGAAATTATTTTAAAGGGAAATTTTTATGTTTTTGGAAAAATTTTTTTTAATTTTTTATTTTTTTCCCCTAATTATTAAAAGGGAAATTTATTTTTGATAAAAAAGAAAAAACCCACCTATTAATAAACAATTTAAATTTTCCTTATATAAATTACCCAACCACTTCCTTTTCCACCCCCCTGGATCCCCTATTTTTGCCCTAAAGGGGGAGGCGGGTACGAAGTCCCCCTTTCTAACCCTTGACGTACCCCAAACAGCCCTCGGCCAAAGGGGGCCCCTTCTAAAAAAACCCAAAAGGAAAGGTTTACAAAAAATTGCAAAAAACAACACTTTAAAAGGGGTTTTCAAACTATCACTGAAAATTGGTGAGGGAGGGAACTTAAATGTGGGGTCAGGGGGGAACATGAAGGGGGTTTGAGGGAGGGAAATGATGGGGGTTGAGGGGGGAAACCAAAAATTTTGGGTGAGAGGGGGAAAAAGATGGGGGGTTTGGGGGGAGGGAACATGATGTGTGGGGAGGGGGGGTTTATGTTTGGGGTGGTGGGGAAATTTATGTGTGGGTGAGGGGAAGGAATATGATTTGTTGTGAGGGGGAAAGGAAAGGGTTATATTTTGGAGTTTCCCTAAAAGAGAGTTTCGGGGGCCCAACGCTTTTGGGGCCCGGGGTTTTTGGCCCAAAGGCCTCAGGGTTTGGATAAAGGGTCTGATCAACAAAGCGGGGTTACTTTTGGGCTGCAAAAAAAATTCGACGAAAACCCCAACACCCCAACTGTTCAGGTACTGATTTTAAGATGCCTGTCCAGTGCCATTTGACAAATTTTCCAGTGGTCTATTTTTTAAATTCCCCCCTTATGTATGTTTGGGGAGGCAGATGAACAGTTTGGGGCCCCCTGAATTTTTGGGTTTTTTTATTTTATCGTGCTAGGGGCTCCCCTGTTTTTAAAATTAAAGGGGGAGGGTTGCATTGTCTCCCCGAGTTTTTTCCCTATCATATGGAGTTTTTTTCTTGCCCAAAATTTTGGGTTAAAATCCCTCTGGATTTTTCAAATTTGTAAATAATCATGTACCCTTTCCCCCCCCCTTCCCTTTTCCAGGGATTTCATTTTGGGAAAACTTCAACCTTTTCCCCCACCCATTTTGGGGCTGTTTTTTATCGCACTTGTAGGTCCCGTGAATGTTTCTGTACATTTTTTAGGTCAGCATTTCACCCCCTTTGGAAAGGTGTGTTAGTGGAAAGCAAATTCCGCCTAGATAGAACAAGTGACCAAAAGGAGTGTCATCATGGGCTTGGCATCCATATTTTTTGGAAGGATTCATTATTTCCTGTCTTTTTTTCTAGCAGAGCGATTGATAAAATGTTGGATTTTGGGAAAGTGGACCCAAATGACATTTCACCCCCAAGATCTTTTACATTAATTTCTCGCTCCATGTTTATTTGGAAAATTTTTTTTTAAAAAACCCCAAATATTTTTTTCTGACCCCATTTAAAGATTGGTTGAAAATCCCCCTTTGGGGGTCTTGCAGTGTCTTCAAGGGAAAGAAAAAGGTCATAAAAATTTTTCGGGTGTCATCTGAAAAGGAAAGGGCACGATGCTGTGGCTTACATCCCTGTCTATGTCAGATGTGAGGATGCAGAACAGGATGTGAGCGAGTACTGTGCCTTGTGGAACAGAGCTTTTCAAAGTAGCCACCTTAGACTTTACTCTATCTAGATGAGTGGCGATCGTGCTTCTTAGAACCCTTTCAAAGATTTTTATGAATTGGGATGTTGACGCTATCGGCATCTTTTAGCTGATCTGTGATTCTTTTAGCTGATCTGTGATCTGTGATTCTCTCTTTCTAGTTTACATTTTCTCTTCCATTTCCTTAACGGAATATGCCTTGAGCAAACCTCAAGTGAAACAGAGTCAATTTTTTTTAGACATAGATTTGGATCCGTGTTGCTTAGGATATCTTCCCAGTTCATATAATTTAGAACTTGGATGAACTGGTTCCACCTTTTGATTTTGTTATTGAAGTTGAATTTGGTGAAGGCTCCCTCGTGACTGATCACATTTTGTTTGTCTGGGGCCCCGTGTATAAATGTCTGAACCTCTATTATGTTGTGATCTGAGTATATTGTTTCTGATTTGGTAATATTTCGTATCAGATCATCATTATTAGTGAATATGAGGTCCAGTGTAGGTCCAGGAGAGATGGGGAGGGCATATGATAACGACATATACAACCTAAGAATAGCATTCCAATATCTCAATAAGGAGTCGTTCAGGACTCTGTATATCGTGTACGACAAGACCATATTGGAGTATGCAGCACCAGTTAGGAACCCACTCCTGGTCAATCACGTGAGAAAATTAGAGAAAGTGCAAGGTTTCCAACGAGACTAGTCCCGTAGCTAATGGGTATGTCCTACGAGGAGAGGTTAAGGGAAATCGACCTGACGACACTGGAGGACAGGACTGACAGGAGAACATGATAACAACAAATAAAATACTGAAAGGAGTCGACAAGTTGGACACAGAGAGGATGTTCTAGAGATGGGACATAGCAACAATAGGTCACAGTTGGAAGTTGAAGACTCAGATGAATCACAGAGATATTAAGAAGTATTTCTTCACTCACAGAGTTGTCAGGAAGTGGAAAAGTCTGGAAAGTGACGTAGCGGAGGCATGATCCATACATAGCTTCAACAAGAGGTATGCTAAAGCTCTTGGAGTCAGAAGTGTTACCCGGTAGCGACCAGTGAAGAGGCAGCGCCAGGAGCTGTGACTCAACCTCCAACAACAACAACTAGGTGAGTACACACACACACACACACACACAGTAGCGTGGGTCCGTGGGGTGAAGACGTGCGTAACAAGGCTCCGAGATCCTTAGCGTTGTATGGCGTGCAATAACAGTTAGCAGTAATCAGTGGTAGTGGAACGTCAGTGAACAATACTACGAGTGATAATTAAAGTTATTAGTTAAAGAATGTGAGAGGAAAGCTGAAATCATAATATTTCAAAGCGCAAACCGTTGGGGGTCTTAGGCACTGTTGCCACATTGGTAGCGGTAGGCCTGATGAAGTGACGTCACGACAAGTTGTGTGCCATTATACATATGAAGTGAAGTGTATATAATGTGAAGTGTATACTATCATCAGTGAAGAGTGAAATCGCGTGAGGA